TGGGGCGAGTTTAATGCCCGCAATCAAGCGGCAGGCTAACAGTAATTATTGCAGTACGACGGAAAGAATGCGAGTCGCGCCGTAGCGGAATCCGCACGGATCTCTCATTCCTCTGTGATCGCGGAAGTCCTTGCTGTTACTCTCTCCCGTTCTTTGCGCTCGCACTCTTCTGGCGTGCGTGCCACGGTTTGTGTGTCCGTGCGAAGGCACACGCATCTAACCGCGGCTGATAATCTCGCTCGTTTCTCTTACATGTGTTGGCATTGCCGTGGGAAATAACGTGAGACACACGACGGCAATTATTTATTTATTTATTTCGCGACACACTAAGCGCTTATTTTCTTTGCACGGGATGATTCACAGAGTCTGCAGTGCGCGTTATCGCTATCGTTTGTCATTTCCGCGCAAGTAGACTAAACAAATAGTATCGGTTTTATTCGTCACTTTCAAACACCCGTCGATAGAGTATATGGATTATTCATTGGCGATTAGTCATTATTCGCGGTAAAGGTGTAGCTTACACGAGAGAATATTAGGTCAAAGAAGTCTTGAAAGAAATCCGAACTCAATTAATATTGATAAATTCTTGATTAAAGTCTACGTTTAATTTTTAATACGTAATACTTATTTGTATATTTTATACTTTTGATTTCTTTCTCCTCGTAGACGATCTTGAGATCAATCTAAAGCTATTTTTATGTAACTGTAATTAAGTTTCTCTTCTGCGGTTTGAAACAGATAATTAAGTTCTAGAATTCTTACACCGCAAATAATAAAACGGCGAGTACTTTCTGTTTTCCCAGAAGCACCGTAGGGTTAAAGCCTCGCAGTGTGAGTGTTGCAATATGTAAAATTCATTGTCATTGAACCTCGCCTTGTGCTCTTCGTCTGCCATGCATTGGCGCGCCACGCCACGCCACGCGTCATCTCAATGGAATGAGAAGTCTCGACAAGGTCTGTCTCTGTAACCCAAGAAGAAAGGAACTTTGTAGCGACCCAGACGATTCTGTGTAAAAATACAAAGGGATTATCCCCTTTCGTGGAAGACGTTGCCATGCAGACGCGGGATTAATTTGAAATAATCCCCAAGTAGGAACCACCACACGACAATTACTATGTACAGTTATGCGGTAACCGTTAATTTATAATAATTGCAAAGCGGCACTATCATCAGAAAATCTACAGTTACTCAGAGTTAAATGAAATATCTATAAGTAACGCACTTTGTTGATTTAGGAAAATGAGAGAGAGAGAGAGAGAGAGAGAGAGAGAGAGAGAGAGAGAGAGAGAGAGAGAGAGAGAGAGAGAGAGAGAGAGAGAGAGAGAGAGAGAGAGAGAGAGAGAGAGAGAGAGAGAGAGAGAGAGAGAGAGAGAGAGAGAGAGAGAGAGAGAGAGAGAGAGAGAGAGAGAG